CACTATGAGACATGACATCCCTCACCAACCCATAGCCCTACAGGGGACAACACTGGAGACACAGTGTGGGAATTCCCCCCATCTGATCCCACCACACCGGGGTAAAACACTACGGGTATTGAATCCGACAGTGCCACCAGGGCTCCTTTAGCCATTCCAAAACAAACAAACTAACTCACTCACTCACTCACTACTACGGAGTCAATTTGGCCTCGTGGCCACCCTACAGGGCAGGGTAGAACTGGCCCCTGTGAGTTTCCTTCATATTCCCGCCTTTAAAACACAATGTAATGATCACAACTTCCATTGAAATCACTGTAGAATAAGCATCAGATTGCTAACGCAAAGACTAGTTTGTTTTGTTTATTGAATTAACTACAATGAATAAATAGGCAAAACAAAGCAATGCGCCACCCCACCTTAGATTAACCTCAAAGGACGAAATAAGCACGCCAAAGAAGGTGGATCTCATGTTTCTTTCCCTTTTGGAAAAAGTCCCTGACTCTAACTGCCACACTTAGTTGTATTCAAAATTGTTAATAATTACGTGCTCAATTACTTTGTGCTCAATTTTATTGTGCACTGAAATATATATATTTTCTCCGGCATGGTGACTAAATTTTGAAATGTCTGGTTTGGAGGCTTCTGTCCTTGTGTCCATACATCTTACGAGCATTATAACTCGTAGGTGAGTGAATTTACGAGATTCTTTAGCTGAAATCTGGGGAAGGTCAAAGGCCACCATTTTGTGAGGTGAAGCCCGAAGCATCAATTGGCCTTGATCTCGATCGATCGATATTCTAACCAGAATCCCCACATCCTGTGGGGTCACGAAGACCGAGAAAATAAATGAAAATCACTTTGCAAAGCAAAAAGCCCCTCCTTCACCCCGAGGAAGCCGAGTATTTCGTTCGTCACTGTCATGGCGGCTCCTCACGACCCTGATGCTCCATCTCCGACTGCACGAGGGGCGCAGAGGCAGGGTGCTGGGCTCCCCTCCCCTGGGGGCTGCGGCATGCTCCTCAGCTTCCCCTTGACCCCGAGGACACCCGCACCGCCACGGCCGGGCCGCCCGCCAGGCGCCTGTACCTTAGTCCACGTGGGGGGGCCCTCTCGAAAGTTCCCGCCAGATGGTCCCGAAGCCCAAGCCGTTGCCGGGGACCCACCCCCGCCTTTCCAGCTCCGCCCACCTGAAGGACCTTTTGGGGGTTCCAAAGGAATGCCAGGGGGTGCCTGGAGGACTCACGGCCTGCAGATGTTCTTACGATAACTTCTCTTGCTACCGCGTTTGTGAGGATCAATAATCCCGTGACGCACTGCACAAGCACGACATTCCCTCTTTTACGGCTGAATGGTGGACGACTC